CTCAAAGTCCAAGACTTTGATTCAAGGTTTATCATGTTTTCTATGGGGTCCACCCTCAGTGGAGCTCATAATAGAGTCTAGGAACAGAGAGAGGAAGTCAGCCACATTAGTCCAAAATCAGGCAAAAGGCATGGTAGAGATCCACCTTATAACCTAATTGGCTCGCAGGTGTGTCAGTGTCCATGAGCAGGTGCTCACAAAAGCGTAGGCATTTCTAATTCAGTTAGTCTATAAGGTGCATCTCTACTTTGCTTTTTGCATAATAGAAGCTGTTAACTTTTGCAACTCCCTTTGATAAACCTTTCCAGTCCAGACACCATTTGAGACCAATCATTACATTATTAGTACATTATTTTAGCAAAATAAAACCATGGGTAACTATGACAAGCCCCATAACAATTTGCTTGCTATCAATTGTGAGCATGAACATTTGTAATTCAGGCCTAAAAGAATACACTGTGGGGTCCACTATAACCTTCCACCATTCACTACAATGAGCAGGTTCAAGTTCTCATGAGGTCTCACAAGACGTTGTAATCTCAGACTGTGGCAATATTGCTCTAGGGATGAGAGAAACATTTCAAATGCTCTGCCTTTGAGATGGGTGATTTTATGATTCTCTCTGTATAGAGAAGGCCTTGGCACATTATGCAATAAAAAAGAAAGAATGCCTCAGGCTCTTGCTATGCCAGGTAAATGAGACCTCTGCTCTCTGAACAGGCCACTACCAGGCAAATCAAAATCTGAGCAGAGTTTTTTGTAATTTTTACAATGGATTTCAGTGGAGAGTCTTTGTTGGGTTTTTTTTTTTTAAACTCTAGCCCTATAATTTAATGAGTCATATGTTCTAAATCCTTTGTTGCTTTTTCATTTTAAACATCTTTAAATGTTTTGTTGAGAATGTGCCTATTTTTAGACCTCCCTTCAGTAAGACATTTTTCCCATTTCAAAGGGGAAGCTCCATTCAGACTTTTGTATTTGGAAGGTTTGTGGGCAGTCCTCACTGTAGGGGAGACTTTTTTCCCCCTCCGGGATGTTTAGACAGGCAGGGCTGGCTCTTGCCCATCTTCAAGGAGCGCTGCCCTTATCCTCCCTCCTGGGGCAAAATTATTCCTGCAGGGGTGTGGCAAATGCATGTCTACAGACAATCCCGTGTTCAATACAACACGCATACATGTGTAAACCACCTTATGACCCGGCCTAAGGAAGGCTCTATGCAGCAGGCTGAAGAAGTGTTTTTCAGGAGGAGTTAGAAGGATTCTGTTTGCCTTCAGTAGCGGATCCAGAAATGGGGCAAGGGAGGTGAGGCTCCCCAACTTTGGCTGGGCTGTGCATGCACAGTGAGCTCTGAGCTCACCGCCTCGTCAGCACAGGCTCCTGCAGAGCTTTGTGTGAGCAGCGAGCTCTGAGCTCAGCAGCTGATCCGTGCAGGGTCTGGTTGGAGCCCCTGCTTTCACCTGGCTCTGGAGCTCAAGCAGTGGACACTGCTGCTGTTTGCCCTTGCCTTTCCTCCTCCTCCTCCTCCCCATTGAATTCAGCAGCGAAAGAAAGGAAAGGATGAGGGGCAGCAACGCTCAAGAAAGCGGGCTCTCCAGCCAGACCCTGTGCTGAAAGCTCATGTGCAGCAGAGCCACTGCACCCCCTCTGGATCTGCCCCTGCCTGCTTTTACCTCATTCCCTTGCTGTTGTTGGGAGGAGGGAGGCTGGGTGACTGATGAGGTCCCCCCCCCCCCCCCCCCCCCCTCCCCCGC